TTTCCCCATTTAAAGCGTATTTGTATGTTTTTCTTCAAAAATAAACCAAAAACTATCAAATTTATTGAAAAGGGTGTTAATTTTTTCAAGTTTTGAGTTAAAAAACGTTTTTGAGGTAAATTGTACCAAAAAAATTGGATTAAAAAAAATAATATTTAATTTGTCTTTTTCAGCCAGAAACGAAAATGTTTCGAAAAAAAACACTAGTCCTAAATTCCAAAGTCCGCCTCTCCCGGATTTACCCTATCAAATAATAATAAAATTTAATTTCTTGTTCGAACCTAATAAAACCAAACATGACACTCAAAAAGCAATAAAATTAATTAATCCGAATGAATAATTAATATTCCATTTTAATTGTATCACCAAGTCACTTATTCTGCTATTTGCATTATAAAACACACCAACGCATCTGAAAAATAAATAAACAAAGCACAATTCAATGCTAGGTGTTTAAATAGGCTTAAAAAATTATTGATCCTTGACGGTTGACTTATAATTACAATAGTATATTATGTTATTAGGAGGAAAGCGATATAATAGTTTATGTGCCAAACTCTATCATTAACAAGTAAATGAACAAAATAATCAACGCTTTGAAAGTAATTAAATCATAACAACGCTTAGAAACAAACTGAGTTGAGATGACTAGTGCAGTTAGTAGTGCAAAAGTAAAAATAGAATTTTTACTCTATGGCTACTATTGTGACGTGTGTGTTTGAAGTATTTTATCATAAAATTTGGAACAAAGTCAAGTGGTTTATAAATAGAGAAAATCTACGTAAAATAATGTCTTAAAATAATCGTCTTGTTAGTGAAAGTGACGCAAAAATTTCTAAATTTACACAACTGTGAGATAATCTTAATTAAGTCTCAATTAATGGCAAATATCAACTTCTAACATTACCATTTAATGTCTGATATACTCTAATTGTCGTCTTTTACTTAATTGGTGTAATTTAGAAAATGCAAAGCCTCGTTAAATTTTTATTAGATTCAAAATAGTGGGCGAGTTAACCTGAATAGTCGTTATAAATTCACAATGTTTATTCGTTGTTATTACAGAAATATGTTAATTCGCATTACCATAAATAAACAGCAAAGAAATTATCTCATTGACAAGACATTTCCACGTTATTGTCTTGTGTCTGTCTCACTTTTATTATCATTTTTACCCCTCGTGTCATAAATTTGTTTGAATGTTTGAAATTAAAACGAGTAAATCGACGGTAATGAGTGAGCCAGTTTACTGATAGCATCTGTGTCAAAATTAATTACATTTTGAAATAAATTTAATTAAAAATGTCCCCGACATAATCAATCACTAATTGTACATTGTTTGTGGGCGCGAGAAATGCAAAATAGATTGAAAAACCTTCGTCATCCTAGAGAAAGCGAATTCGAAGAAAAATACAGGGTGTTCCAGCAAGTTGAAAAAGTTCATTAGTGACCTCTAAATGGTAAAATTAAATTAAAAAAATATTATATAGGACATTGATAGATACTAATCTAGTGCATCACCTAAAATTAAAAATTGACCCCTTCATCCAATATAATGCATTAGTTTATATTATTAAAAATTGAAAAATAAAAAATTTTTGTCAAAACTGTCCAAAAAATTGTCAAATTTAGTTTAAATTGACCTTTTTTTGTGCGTTTCGAGAAATTTTCTCAACTAAGTTGAAAATGACGTTATTTGGTTCTTTTCAATGAACTGTACTTTTTTATTTTGCGAAATTTTAATTAAAAAACCTGAAACAAAAACACTGAAAATTTATATTATTCTGACTTAAAATTAAGCTATTTTGAAAAGTTTTGACAAGAATCACCGAATAAGATTAAAATCAACTTTATTTTGTTTTTTTTTTTAATACATTTACATTGTTTTTGAGTCATTTCATTTGTTTTCTAACTTTTTGCTATCGAGTTATACCCAAATTGGTGTTTTTTTTTTTTTCATTAACTAAACTTTTTTATTTCTTGAAATTTTGTCAAAATAAATCAAAAAACCTTCGAATTACGTGGAAAATGATGTAATTTTGGCCTCTTTTAAACACAGTTTTAAGTTAAAAACAAATAAACTCTCATTATGAAAGTTCATTTTATAGTTTTAAAGTGGCCAAAAAATAGTAAAAAATGTTTATATTATTAAAAAAATGAGTGTTATGTACCAAAAAACAAGCTTTATTTTCTAATATAAACTTTGTGATAGCTATTGCTTTATAAAAATATTTCAAGTTTAACAAAACATTTATAAATGAAATTCTAACGACACAATATAAAAAAGTCCACTTTATGCTGTCCCGAAAATTAACATTTTCATTTAAAAGATTTTTTTTCTTGTTTACTAGGTGTAATTTTGAAGCTAGTTTATCGACTTTTCGAAAACGGTTTTTCATATTAGCACCATATTTTTCAATAAGAGACGGAATTATCTCGAAAAATTTAGACAAAAATATACCGAAAAGTCACCAAATTAAGTGAAAAATAATGAATTTTGCTTGTTTACATCACGTTTTTTTGTAAGATTCTGTTAAAACAAATTGAGTTAAACATGACCTTTTTATGATTTTTTTAAGCGCTTTAGCACGTTTTTCAATTAAAAATTTACAAAATTATTTCGTCACAAATCGCTAAATT